ACTTATCAAAGATATGAAAAGCTGTTCACTGGAAGCTGCCAATTAGAAGACCAGCATTAAGTCTTCGCTTTGCCAGCAATTTGCCATTAATCTATTCTTTCAAGGTTTTTCTCTCCACTGGTAACAATAGAGAGGATAGGACTAGAATGGATTTGAAGGTTCCATTCTGATATTTTGTGCTGTAAAGATTCAATTTCGGGTCCTCAACTCTGATATTTTGTGCTATAAAGATTCAACATATTTTAATAAATCTTAACAATATCACGTTTGCAGACTACTTTACAGCCACAAAATGCTTTCACATATATGATGTCTTTTAAAACTCTCCTGTGCCTGTGAGTCAGGCACATTTCACAGAAGTGAGAACAAGCTCAGAGCAGTCACAACTTATCTAGGGTCAGAGTTACTGACATGGCAGAGTTGGGAGACAGATCTTCCTATCCCCAAGTTCAAAGTTTTTCTGCTGTATTTGGCTACTTCAAAGTTGTAATATGGGAACATGAATAGTTAAGTGTTTGTTGAACCATAAAGTAATGAGGTATCATTTAAAAAAAAAAAACCCCTCTGGACTACAGTCAGAGAATTAGAATTCTTTGATTTTTTAAATAATTTTCTTCCCCCCCCTTTAAAATATTTATTTATGAATGCAAAACTGGGGTACAGGCCAGTGGTGCAGGAGCAGAGAGAGGATTCACCAGAGACAGAGTGAGGAGCAGAACAGGCAGATTGACTGAAATACACTGCTAAGGGGAGCAATGGGCGGGTCAGGAAAGGTCTGCTGTGCCATGTGGGTCACCTCCCTGGCTGGGGATTGAGCTCATGCTGCAGATAGCTTCACAGTGCTGTGCTTTAACCCCTTACACCACCAAGGAGTTCTGACATTTTTATTGGGGGAATGGTCAATTAACCTCCCAGTCTGTTTCCTCATCTGTAAGGAAGGAGTTTGTGCTATATCACTTTTAGCATTAGCATTTATTCTTATTTAGCTCCTTATTTTCTTCATAATGTCTGTTTCTAAAATAATATTGTTTCTGGATTAATATTGAAATGAAACTTTTTTTTTAAGATTTATTTATGTGTACATCCAGAACTGGGGTACAGTCCAGAGGCTCAGGGGCAGCGAGAGGTTTCACCATAGACAGAGTGGGGAGCAGTACAGGCAGATTGAAGAAGTATACTGCTGAGGGTAGCAGCGGGCCTGGTCAGGAGAGGTCTGCCATGCCATGTGGTCACCTCCGGGGCAGGCGGGAATCGAACTCATGCAGAAGTGGCTTTAGTTTCTCAGTGCTGCACTTTAACTAAACCGCTGCGCCACCAGGGAGGGCCAGAAGTGAAACTTTTTTGATATACTGTAAGATGTTTTTGAAAAGCACAATAAGAGAGTATCTGTCATTAACAATTACTTAGGCTCTCTGATCACTGATATATTTCTAATTTTGGACTAGTGTTATTCACTGAACACCATTTTCCAACAAACTAGTTAACTTAAGATTTCACAGAGTGGTAAATTATTCTGGTTGTTTTACGCTGACTACTTGGAGTTGCATTTTCAGAGAGGTCTTGAGTTGAGAGATCTAACTGGGACCAAGAATAGAAAACTTATAGGAACTTGAACTCATTGTAAATATTGTTGACCCTCTCCCCATGTGCTGAATGATAGCTCTGCCATCTGACATAGTGTCTTATTATCATGTATATTCATTGTTCTGGTAGCTTGTAATTAGTGGACATTTGAAGATAAAGGGAAAATCACTTGCAGATTGTGGAGGGTATGATGGTAAGTATTTCAAGAGTTAGGGACAAAGAAGAGTTTTGAACCTGCTGCTTCTTTGCCCGCCTCCCTGTTTGAGTAGAACATTGTAACGTTTGAAGCTAACATAGAATGGATGATAACAGGCTTGCTGAGCTGGTGACTTTATGCACAATTAAGCTTTGTTGGGACTTTCCTTATTTGTAATGGTGCAGTTACAGCGTGGGATGTTATTCAGCTCTAAACAACATTCCATTTAATAACTAGGCATTAGTTCACCCATGAAATCAAAGCCATCACGAACAGATAAGTATCGCCCTTTTTCTTGGCCTCTCTTGGCTCTTCTACTCAGCAAACTAAGCATGACAATGGCATGGCCCATGAGTAAGGAGGCTTGAGGGCAGATAGATTGAACAGTGATGACCAACATTCTACCTGGTCAGAGAAACGAACCTTTCTGGTAATCTTTTTCTTCCCTCAAATATAAATTTAAGTACTTTTCAAGCAGTACTTTGTTCCTTTAAAAACAAAATAAAGAGGGCCCTCCCTGGTGGCACAGTGGGTTAAAGCACAGCACTAAGAAGCTAAAGCCACTTGAGCATGAGTTAGATCCCCAGCCCCAGAGGTGACTTACACGGCATGGCAGACCTCTCCTGATCTGTCCGCTGCTCCCCTCAACAGTGTACTTCATCAGTCGGCCTGTTCTGATCCCCACTCTGTCTCTGGTGAAGCCTCTCACTGTCCCTGTACCTCTGGCCTCTACTCCAGTTCTATATGAATAAATAAATAAATTTTTAAAAAAAAATAAAGTTAGTAAAATAATACTAGACCTGACTGCTTATTTCTTAGGCATGGAGGAAATGAAAATATATGGAGAGGCATGGAAAGCTGTACACCAAAATAATTGAGTAAGAATGATTATAGCATAGCAGCATTGTTTGTAAGAATAGTAAGTACTTCATCAGGAATACAATAGATAAATTATGACAAATTGTACAACAGCAACTCCCACTATGTTCAAGATGAATAATGCTCACAAGCTCAATGTTGAGAGAAAGAAGCCAAGCTCAAGCAAGTATATAATTTATAAATCCATTATACATTATGGGGAAAAAACTGAGCAAAATTAATCAATTGTATTAAAAGTGAGGATAATAGTTATCTCTGGGGAGGAGTAAAAGAGAGAGCTTTAGAAAAACAAGTAAGGTGGCTTCTTAGTACTAATAATTAATTTTTTTAAAGAATTTATTTATTTATGCATACAAAACTAGAGTGTGGGCCAAAGGTGCAGGGGTGGTGAGAGGGTTCACTGGAGACAGTGGGGAAGAGAACGGACAGATTGACCAAGTACACTGCTGAGGGGGTGGGTCAGGAGACATCTGAGGAGCCATGTGGGTCAGCTCTGGGGTGGGGATCAAACTCACACTGAAGTGGCTGTGTCTCTTCAGTGCTCCGATTTAACCCATTGTGCTACCAGAGAGGGCATAGTAATTAATTTTTTATCTAAAAGATTAATACTCTGGTATGTTCAATTTTCATCAAACTCTGCACTTACATTTTGTTTCCTTTCCCAACCATGTGTTGTATTTCACAGAAAAGTTTAAGAATTATGTTAGAAATGAGAAACTTTTAGTTAGCTTAAGTGTGAAGTCTATGGGTTTCAACTCAATTAAGTCTTACTGGCAACCAAAAAGGCAGTTTCATTTAACTATTAATAAATTAATTTATTAATAGTAATTTACTTTTGGTTTCTGAATAGACTGAAATTTGCAGAAAAGTTGCCACTGTTACAGAGAAATCCCAAGTATCACTTTTGTATTTTTCCCTTTATTGTTACTGTCTTACATTACAATAGTACATTTGTAACAAGAAACCAACTTTGGCAGATTAAAATTCACACAATTCCAATCTTTATTCTTTCTAATTTCACTAATTTCGCACTAATGTCCTTATCCTGTGTCAGATCTTATTCAAAACACTATATATCATACTTAGTGGTCCTATCTAAGTTTCTGTCAGACCTGTGAAAATTTTTTAATTTTTCATTTTTATTAACTGTTTAGTTTGCTCAGGTCTTTTGTAGGACACCTGGTTTTTTGTAAGATTTTTTTTTTATTTATGCATACAAGAACTGGGGTGTATGCCAGAAGTGGGAGGATTGTTGAAAGGATTCACCAGAGATTGGGGAGCAGAATAGGCAGTTCTACTGAAATACACTGCCGAGGGAAGGAATGGACAGGACTGGAGAGGTCTGCTGTAGGTCAGCTTCCTGGCTGGGGATCAAACTGTTGCTGCAGTGGCTGGTGATAGCTCGATAGTGCTGCACCACCAGGGAGGCCCCACCTGGTTTTTCTGATATTTTCTCAATATTAGACTGGCTTTGCAGATTTTGAGGGAAAATATTACAAATGATTTGACCTTCTTATCACATGTCAGATGTAGTGGTATTAACGTTCATTCATCTGGTTGAGGTGGTCCATAAGAAAGTTAATTATCCCATTTTCACATTTTTTGGAAGCAAGTAACTGTTGGTCACCCTCGTGGTTCTAGGGGTGAGATGGGGATTGGTTCAATTCTCTTTTTTTATATACAGTTTATTCTGTATATCATGAAGTATTTAGTTCATGTATTTAACTTATAAATAAATCTTACCATTTTGCCTCTTTAAGAACAATTAAATAAAAATTAACGGGTAGTTCAGTATCTCTTCATTATCAGATGTTTCTCGTCTTACTGGAAACCATCAGCAGAAGTAGTGATTAGAGGCTTCCAAACGTTGGTGGGAAATAAGTCTGCAGGAACAGCTGGTATCTGGGGCAGAGGTTATGATCTAACTAACGTTGTTAAGCTTAAGAACGACAATAATTTATATTCCACTTTTTTCTGAGGACCTTACCGCCGCTCATTCCTATGCATTACCCGACCCACCAACTCCGGATTAAAGAAATTTCTGGCAGGACTACACGCAGAGGGCGTGAATGGGATGATTTCCTTACTGGATCTGCAGCTGAGTGGATTCCCAGGCTGTGGAGCAGAGAGCAATTCGTAAGACACGCCCGGGACAGGGCAGCCAGTAGGAAGTTGCACCGCTCTGCCTAGGAGGAGGAGGTCCCGACGCGCCGACGGCTTCCAGAGGGAGCAGCGCCCCGCCCACCGTTCGGCCCCGCCCGCTTGCCCCCCTCGACCCGCCCCTCGTCCCGCCCCTCCGCCCTGCCACCGAGGCTTCCTTCCGGGTCGAGCTGGGCCGGGCTCGCCGCAATCGCGCTGCGGCGCGGGAATCTGGGAGCCGCCCCCGCGCTCGGGCCTCCGGGTGTCGCCTGGTCGCTGGCCTGGCGAAGTCCCTGGCGCGCGCCGCTCCCGGACCCTGCAGGGTACGGCCCTTCCTACGCTTCTCCCTCCTGCAGGTCTCAGTCTTCCTCCCTCGCGCTGGGGCGGGGCCCGGACGGACGGAGCGCGGTTCTTTCGCGAGCCTGTGCTCCTGGCCGAGGTCCTGGCTGGCTTGTCGCCCCTCCTTTGCAGCCCGCGCCGCGCTCTTCTGGCTTGCGGGGGGCGGGGGGCCGGAAAGTAGCTTAGGAGCCTTGGGCACTGATCTGCACCAGCCAGTCCGCAGGGCCTGAGGCGTCGCCCCGGCATGCAGGGCCCAGGGTTGTTTACTGCTCCGTGACTGCGGGCTGTGCTGACTCTGCACCCCGGTTCTGGCCCCTGCCCACCTGTGTGAGGGTGCCTGTGTGTACTGCGTCTTTTCTCGCTGGCATCCTGTGGATTTTACCCAACCAGGCCTGTGTCCTAAGGACTGCCACAAGACACCGGGCAGCAATCTTGCTTCTGTGTTTAGGGGTGGCTTTAGAGTGCAGTGTGATGTGACCATCTACTTGGCCACCTGGCCAACATGTTTCCTTTGGGAGTGATTTGGGACTTCCCTGGTTTACCAAAAGCTCATTGCCACATACCCATCGGGTTGCACTCACTGCTCGAAAGATACAAATACTTAGAAAGTCAAGATGATGGAAACCTGTGGGCAGGTAGTTGAGTCTGGCGCTCTGCCCTGGAGATTCACCAGCACATCTTCTGTTCTGTGACAAGCTCCCTTTACTGCTTCCTGGAATGGACTATTTGTTTTTTCAGTTTCTTTACTTTTACTGAGATGAAGTTGGTGTCCATCCGCGCATCTTTGGTGGTTTATAGGTTCAAAGCTCCACAAATGCTTATCTTCACATCATCACTTCTCAAATTTAGAATATAGGCACATTTTTTTTTCTTTAAAGCCACATTATGCTTCTATTGTCGCATGCATTGTACCTGTGGGGTTAGTAAAGGAGAGTTTCCTGATATACCAACGCTACTATAGGCCTTTATTGATATTTTACTCTTGGGGGGAAGGGAAGTATACTTTGCTTTCAAATGGCGGCATGTGTCATGAACCTTGGGCACTTTAATTGTTTAAGGAATTCTTTTTTTTCCCTCATTTCTTTCTGAGTACTAAAAAAAAAAAACCCTCAAAATTTGGCTTTCCTGAGTTCTGCATTTTCAGCCTCTTCTGTTACAGACTTGAAAATTCAGAGAGGCCAGCTAAATTAACATGGCCAGAAGTTAATGTGGTTCATTTCTTTTCCTAAATCCATGATGCAGTAATACAATTATAAGTCTCTATACAACAACATCTTAAGATGTGAACTGCTTACCTTTTGCTTCCAAATAAGATCAATCAGTCAACATAAAATGCCCCCTTCTTTCTTATTGGGACAGTTGCATTGTCTTTTGAATTTTCCTGGAATCAGCATTCTCCTCCTTGGTCATGGAGTCATCTTAGACTTTGGCCACATGAATTGTGTATTATAAACTACTTATCTTTTCTTATATTGTAATGGTCTTATTCTTCATATCTAAGTTTTTAACTTACCTCAGCTATATTTTAGTGTGAGAAAGGAAGTAAGGTGTTTTTTTTTTTCCCTTCCAAAATTGTTAGCCAGTGACCTCATCATCATTTTCACCTATTAGTAGCAGATTCTGTAGCTTAGGCTTTAATTTTGGAAATTTTTTTTTCTGAACTGTTGTTACAGGCTGGTTTCCCATGCTATCATGCTACTCATATCTAGTTTTATACTGTCAGCTGTATCTGTGGGGACCACATCCTTAATTAGATTCAACCAATCTTGCTATGACTTTTTTTTATTGTTGGTATTCCCTAAACCATGCAACTATTTACAAAACATTTACATTGTTTAGGTATTCTAAGTAACCTAGAGATGATTTATGTGCATAATTGTTTTTTTAAGATTTATTTTTATTTACACATAGAAGAAATGGGGTGTAAACCATAGGTGTGGGTGAGATGAGAGGGTTCACCAGAGACGGTGATGGTGCTGAGATTTTAACCCCTGCACCACCAGGGGATCCCTTAGGTGCATAAGTTGTAATGCAAGTACTCTGCCTTTCTGTTTTAGGGACTTTTTAGGGACTTTTAGTATACAAGGGAGTTCTGGAACCAATTCCCCAAGGATACTGAGAGACAACTATGATGTGTTTTCACATTATATTAAAATATATTTGAACTAATATTCAAAAAATATTTAGTGATGTCCACAATATGCCAGTCACCTTTCAACACATTTAGTGGGGGTACATGGATATCTTTTTTTTTTTTTACCCGCTATCACTTTTAAAGTTTTTGCCTACTCTTGAGAAATTTTTTTAGCCAACTTCCCCCCAGTCAGTTGAATCATTAACCATTGTTAAATAATTCTCTGATCCTAAGGCAGAATTTCACTTGTAGAGTTGCTCATCAGAGTTCTATAAAGAAGCTGCTTGACTCAGAAATATGCATGTCTTTTGGCTTTGCATTGTATATTATTTTTTTTTAAGATTTATTTATTTATTCGTACAGAGCTGGGGTACAGGCCAGAGATGCGGAAGGTGAGAGGCTTCACCAGAGACAGAGTGGGGCACAGAACAGGCAGATGGAGGAAGTAACACTGCTGAGGGGAACAGTGGGCGGGTCAGGAGAGGTCCGCCTCACCATGTGGATCTCCTCCCGGCCAGGCAGGGATCAAACTCGTGCAGAAGTGGCTTAAGCTTCTTTGTGCAGTGCTTTAACCCGCTGCGCCATCAGGGAGGGCCTGTACATTATTTTAAAAGTATGGTGTGTCTTTCCTGATCACTTATAATTCAAGATGTTTAGTAGGTCTGCAGTGCTTATAGGAGATGGCTGGGATAGCTCCAATTCCATTTGTATTTTACCATCTCTAGTGCAAATTTTTTAATATGTTATAACTCCTCAAAACTAATCAGATACTATGAAGGATGAAAAATTTTAAAATAGAGTATAAGAATATTTGGATTCTTATTTTCCCCTTCCACCATCCCTTATGTCACTTGACCTCTTATTCCTCTTAACCTCAGAAGCCTCTCTTGTTTTATTAATATCTGCTAGTTTAAGTGTTTTATCTCTCTTGTTTTATTAATATCTGCTAGTTTAAGTGTTTTACTTAGTCAAATCAGCACTATATAAAGTCTAATATTTACATCATTATGTAAAGTCTAATATTTGACTTGCTCTACTGCATATAATTCTCTTAAACTCTAACTTGCTGTAAATGGCAACATTTTGTTTTAGTTATGGCTGAAAAACACTCCATGATGTAGATATACCATATCATAATCCAGTCCTCTCTCAACAATTTGGGTGTTATAAATAACATTATAATAGCATTGTAGAGCATATAATTTTTTTGAGATGCCGGTTTCATGTTCTTCAGATAGATACCTAAGAGTAGACTGCTAGATCAAAGGGTATTTCCACTTTTTTTTTTTTTAAGATTTATTTATTTATGCATACAGAACTGGGGTACAGGCCAGAGATGCAGGGGTGGTGAGAGGCTTCACCAGAGACAGATTGGGGAGCAGAACAGGCAGATCGAGGAAGCACACTGCTGAGGGGAGCAGCGGGCAGATGAAGAGAGGCCTGCCACACCATGTGGTCACCTCCGGGGCAGGCGGGTATCGAACTCATGCGGAAGTGGCTTTGGCTTCTTAATGCTGTGCTTTAACCCGCTGCGCCACCAGGGAGGGCCACCACTTTTTGTTTTTTTAAGGTAAATCCAGATTGTTTCCAAACTGGCTACACCAGATTATATTCTCTCTAGCAGTATAGTAGGGTTCTTTGCATTCTGTCCAACACTTATTTTTAATATGTGCCATTCTTACAGGTCTGAGATGATAGTAGATTGTGGCTTTGACCTGCATCTTCTTTATTAAAAGTGATGATGAACAGTTTTTCATGTTTCTGCATATGCTTTTCGATGAGTTGTCTACTCAAATGTGCCACCAATTTGAGTTAATTGGAGTGTTTGTTTCTTATTCTTAATTAATTTTTTTAAGATTTATTTATGCATACAAGAACTGGGGTACAGGCCAGAGGTGCGGGGGCTGAGAGAATTCACCAGAGACAGAGTGGGGAGCAGAAAGGCAGATGTACTGAAATACATTGCTGAGGGGAGCCGTGGGCCAGACAGGAGAGGTCTGCTATACCATGTGGATCGTCTCTCTGGCTGGAGATTGAACTGATGCTGAAGTGGCTGGGAATAGCTTCATAGTGCTGTGCTTTAACTCCTTGCACCACCAGGGAGGGCCCTGTTAAGTAACTTTTTTGGGAAATTTTTTTAATTTGTGATAATCCCAATTGCTTTGCTTTTATTTCTGTTGCTGTTTGGATCAAGTTTCCAAAAATATCTTTGTTATTGATGTTATGAAATATACTACCATTGTTATTTCTTTTCTATAGAATTTCTTTAACATTCCATTGTGTTCTAGAATATCTTTAAATTTTTTATAAGCTTGCTTGAATTCATTTTATATTCATTTATTGCATCTGTTTTCTAGGTCACTTATTTTTTTCATTTTCATTTTCAATTTATGTTAGCCACCATGTTTTTAATTTCCAAGACTTTTTTATGTTTAATTTTAGCTTGCACTTGTTTTATGGAACCTATGCTTTATTAATTCACACCAAGATAACAATTATTTTTAAACTGTTCTTATTTTGGGGTATTATCTTTTATTGGAGGCCATTTTTTTCTGATTGCTTTATATCCTTATCTTTTTTTTATTAAAGATTTTATTTATGCATGCAAAAATGGGGTATAGCCATTGTATAGTGCCAGGGTGGTGAGAGAATTCACCAGAAACTAAGTGGGGAGCAGAACAGGCAGGTCCATGAAGTACACTGCTGAAGGGAGCAGCCCGAAAGACAGAAGAGGTCTGGTGCGCCAAGTACGGTCACCGCCCATTCTGGGCTTGGATCAAACTCTCACTGAAGTGTCCAGGGCGTGGCTTAGCTTCACAGTGCAGAGCTCCAGCCAGCTACCCCACCAGG